CAAGGATCGGCTTTGAGTCCCTTCTTGTTTGCTATGGTGATGGACAGGTTGACAGATGAGGTCAGACAGGAATCTTCGTGGACAATGATGTTTGCGGATGACATTGTGATCTTTAGTGAGAGCAGAGAGCAGGTGGAGGAACACCTGGAAAGGTGGAGGTCTGCTCTGGAAAGAAGAGGAATGAAAGTCGGTTGTGGTAAGACGGAATACATGTGTATGAATGAGAGGGAGGGAAGTGGAACAGTGAGGTTACAGGGGGCTGAGGTCAAGAAGGTGCAGGAGTTTAAGTATTTGGGGTCAACAGTCCAGTGTGATGGGGAGTGTAGGAAAGAGGGGAAGAGGCGAGTGCAGGCGGGTTGGAGTGGGTGGAGAAAGGTGTCAGGAGTGTTGTGTGACAGAAGAGTGTCAGCAAGAATCCAAGGAAAGGTGTACAAGACAGTAGTGAGACCAGCTATGCTGTATGGGTTAGAGACTGTAGCAGTGAGGAAAAGACAAGAGGCAGAGATGGAGGTAGCAGAGATGAGGATGTTGAGGTTCTCTTTAGGAGTGACCAGGATGGACAGGATTAGGAATGAGCACATCAGAGGGACAGCTCAGGTCGGCTGTTTTGGGGACAAGGTCAGAGAGGCCAGGTAATATTTTAATAAAAACAAGTAAACATTACAAGACCCATAAGGTCATGTGTTATTGCTGGTTCAGTTTAAAATATCCTTAAAAAATTAAACAATGTAAATTTAAAGATAATGTACTTATAAATTAAAAAAAGATAATTAGCTACAAAGTAATGATAATTTGTTAATTTTAATCTTTTGTCTATTTAATCCTGAAGTGATGGTTTGAAGATCACATTCATACCAAGGTTTCTTGCTCAGATAATTTGAGGGGATCCAGCCCTCGACGACTTCTCTTACATTTTTACATATTCTCACTCTTTAACTGGGGCTTGGGAGGAATGGGGGCTTTAACTTTGGACTATACTTTCTCTTTGTTTGCAGGTGACTGAACAGACCCTTTGGATTTAGGGGGCGGGGGTCTGCTGAGCTGTGGTGGTCCGGTCTTGGGAACGATCTTGGTTGGGCTGGATGGGTCAGTCTTCTTTGGAGGAGATCTCCTTGGTGCCATTGTGTGTGTGTGAGTGTGTGGGGGGGTCTCTCTGAGGGGGCTCAATATACACATATGGGACTTTTAATTTGAATTTTCTTCTAAATGATATAGTAAAAATGTTTGTAAGACTAGTAATATGAGACAGAATAGGCTGCAGGTAATGGGCTATATTATATGCATTTTCATGTCCTTCTCAGAGGTCTTAGTTTGAAAGCTGGACATAGTCAATGCGTTTCCAAACTTGTGTAATGCGTGGTTTCTAGGCACACTTAAATTTCAGGTGCAGCTCATTTGACCATGGAAAAACAAATGAGAGCTGACTTGACCGCAGTAGACAAAGACTACTGTTAAGGGCAAAATGTAACTCTTACAGTTAAGTCACTATGAAACACAGATCAAAGATTTGTGGCTGTTTCGGATGTTAATACAGCCATCCTCATAAGCTAATCTATTTGTAACATTTCACAGATATCTTTTGGCAATGCGCCATCTGATTAGTGGGGCCCAGTTTGTCAGAATTATCCCAGATGTGCCATCTGTCAAAAAATAGTCTAGCTGTGTATCCTCAGTAAAGTACACCAGAGCCACATGTGAGACAGATTGGAGACAGAACACAGCTGGACATGGTGGAAACACAACCACTGACTAGACTGGCAGTGACCAGCTCCGGCAATCACATTGCAAACAGAACGCAACGCAGCTGGATCTGGTGAAAATTAACGGTCGGTCTAAACAAAGCCTTAGACCTGGAGCTGACTGCAATCAGTACACAGAGAGCAGTGTTGAACAGGGCTTAGACAGGTGGTTTAACACACATTAAAAGTTGTTGTTAAGCCCTTCAACAGCGCACACAGTCAGGATGCTACCTTGGACCCCAAGAATTACAAAGTCTGCATCTCCACCAAAAACTCCTCCTCTGAAAAACTGGCCAAAAAAAGCCAAGGAATGTAAAATTATATCCCTAAACTTGCATCACAAATTTCAGTGCACAAATCCACCTGAACTGAAAGTAGCTATTAAAGTGCAGTTTGAAAATATAAGTGTACTGGCGCACATTATACACCACCTGGGTGTACAATATTGCTAAATGATTTTAAAAACCAGTCACCCCCAACAAGTCTTTTGAACATTTTATTTTAACAAAATCTCCCAACAGAATGTGATCTTACTTCCATGTCCATGACTGTCAACTAGCTGAACATGCACCTACCACGACTACTTCCATGGTAGAGGCCAAATGGAGCAGTGCCAGTTTCACCTTGTCTCACTTTAAATACTGCGGCCTTATAAATCAACACAGACAGACTGAACTGGTCCATGCCAGATGAGGAAACAATTTGTTCAGAAGCAGCAAAATCTGTCAAATGTTAGACACATCACACATGCACACACTTATTCTGTGAATTCACCTTAGCAGTGTCACACAGGTACAGATACAGACACAGACACACATGCACAAAATGCACTCATACACACACACACTTAAAAGTACACCGTTTTGTATAAAAAGAAAAGGTAAAAACAAACTTCATTCAGATGAGCTCCTGGTTTTGATGGTTGCAATAATACAGTACACAATTATAACTAAAGATTAAACAATTAAACCTGTAGCCCGTTAGACAGATCACCTAATATAAATTTATCTTGGTGGCATTTCACCTAGAGCGTTCTTTGTTCAGTTTGACATGTTTTCACTATGTTACACTGGACATGTGCAGCTCTGCGGAGATTAAAGTCATGCTCAAAACTAAAAATGAGGCCAGGTAGATAGTGAGGAGGTGCATTAGTTGCCACTGCTTTGACACTTGTGGCCCTCATTTGTCTTCATAATACAATCCAGGTACATCGGTCACTGTCTGCCAACACTTGCAGAGATGAGCCTACGGGTGAGAAGAGACAAGTGAGATTTGAATTAGAACTCACACTTATCTACACAAACACACTAATCAAAAAGCTAGTTTGAAAGGACTTTAAAACTTGTACTAGTGGCTAGGAAACAAAAACAGCTATAAATAATAAATTAAAATCTGCCTCTCTGTCAGCTTACTGGGACAGTATTAATGTTGTATGTTTGACACATTAGGAAATAAGATCCAAGCTGTATAGCAATCCAGTTCAGCTATGTTTGCCTATATTTTATTAACAAATGTAAGCATCAATTTAAACAGCTTTCTGCCAACAAAGACAAAACAAACTTTGCACACAGCATGGTAACTGTACACAAGGTAGGTGATCACTTCCACAAACACTTGTCATTTTCTGGTAACACTTCTGTTTCCATCCAATTTATAAAAAGAGATTTATAGTTAATATGAAATTCACATGTACACAAAATACTCCTGGGGTGTTACCAATCTGTACAGCTGTTTGGTTTGATGCAGTCGTATTTGGCTTCTGACTTGGACTATGATCTGAATGGGTGAGAATCCTCTGGACATTTTGAGACACTTTTTGGTCTCTGTCAGAGGGTCTGTCGTAGATATCAGGACGCTGTACATGTACACAAATGTGTATTTAACTCACCTTTGTGTAGAGCTTCATTTGTCATGCGATTGATATACCGGGAGCTGCTCTCAGGAACCAGCCACTTCATCACTGTGTTCACGCAGGACTTCCTGTAAGAACTCCACACACTCCCACTGACAAGAGAGACAAACACTGACACGTTTCACAACAGAACTGAACACAGCTTAACAAGTAACAGCTAAACAAGCAGAAAGGAGTGTATGAGAGGGAGTGGCAGTAGCTCACCTGGTCTGACCCTTGACCTCAGTAAGGTCACCAACGCCCACAGTGCAACATATGCCAGTATTTAGGTCCCAGCTAACTTGGAGATTGGAATGGTAGGTGTTTGGCCTGGGAACAAAAACAATTAAAAACTAACAACCAGACAAAGTGACTGTTGCTGAAGACAAAGAGTAGCTGAGTAACAGACTACTGCGGTCTGAACAAGATGTACAGTACCTGCTTGCTAACAGAGCCGGTTGGTCATATAACCTGCACTCACAGCTCCAAAAACGTCAGAACAAATTCTAAATTGGTTTTACTTGGACAGACTGACCATATGGCCTGACAAAATTCCAAAACGTAATAAAAAGGCATAATTACCAGCCCTACAGATTAAAATAACAGCTTTGAGTCTGGCTCAAAATCTCTGCCATCATGATCTCACCTAGCTGCCGCTGCATAGAATAGACCTTTCCCCAACTCTGGGCAGTCGTCCTTCTGGGTTCCTTCATTCCGTGTCTTGCACAGCGGGATGTACTGAACAACACCACCTAGTTTTCCACTGACAATGGATGGACAGCTACCACTGTCCCTATGTGCTCAGCAGTATAGCTGCACAATTTGGTCACAAGGGGGCTCACATACAGTCAAGCAGCCTTTCCAGCTCTCACAATAGTGAGTAATTTTTATAATATTCCTGCATCCAAATTATGACATAGACCAGCACCAAAATCTAATAAACTGTTCCGTGGGCCCTACATCTCCAAAAAAAGATCTGTTTGTTATGCTTTGAGTTATGCTGTTAACAACCAAGAAAACAAACGTCAGCAAAAACATAACCCCCAACCTTGGCAGAGGTCATAATCTAAAACCAATGAGATGAAGGGCTGAAGGAAGCTTTGAGTGAATTAGGACAGAGTTAAACAGCAGAGAGGAAGACACGCACCTGCAGTGCTCCTCATCGGAGTTGGAGAAAGCCAGTAACAGCAAGCCAATGTTGATCATCACAGTGTTGGTCTCTGGACACACCTGATACAAATCAAACACACATTATATGCAGGCTCTTCCAAATAACTGCAACATCCACAGTTCAAAGTCATACCTCTCTCTCTCTGCCCTTGGTTCCTGTCCTCTCTATATACAACGTTAAGCATTAAATTAAGACAAAGTGCCAAAAACAGCTATGTTTTCCTTTAGTTGACATATGATCCAAAACATATCTTGATGTGGAGAGATGCTGTCAAAGGCACTTGTGACCAGAACTGACTGAACAGATAAGCAGCAGTGCACAGATATTCCCCTCCTGAAGTTTTAACCAATCAGAGAAGGCCAGAGTTGGGAGCACACCGCTGTCAATCAATATGTGAATAGTGCTTCTGGTCTGCTGCTCTCCTCACACCAAGGTTTAAAGCTAGACATCATTACAGCTGACTCTCAAGCTAGCAGGCTCCAAATTCTTACATTAGCTGAGACAGGGTGTAGGTGAAGGGCTGGGTAGTGCATAACGGAGCAGTACTGTGTGTGGGCGTGTGCTGACCTCTAATATCACCACGTCATAGTCGCTGAAGGAGCAGAACTGAGAAGCCCAGGCAGCATCGCTCCTGATCACCTCATTGATAAGATACTCAAAGTCTAGAGTCAACTGCTCCACACACACCGTCTGCAAGAGAGAAAACACAAATTAAAACCTCTGTGTCCAAACAGATGGCACAGCATGAGCAGCATATTAGCTCTGATGTTAATGAGCATAAAGAGCTAGTAAAATGTGGCCCTGTGTTGACAGCTGGGTTAAAAGAGAAGCATATCTGTTTTGTTTTGTTTTTTCATATGCACATGACACAGACATCTGAAAAACACAAAATACACTAACAGTATTAACACAGGCGAAGTATGTTTGTTCTGGCGTGACTGAAAATGAACAGTCATTATGTAACCAGAGCAGAATGAAAACAAACAGAATGGAGGTTCAGTAATAAAAGTTGCAGGATGTTACATGCAGATTTGTAAGTGAGACTGTAGAATGTGTAATCAGACTTGTGGGTAACATTAAAAGCAGTCATTCGTTTTTTCATATTGGATATTTGATCACCTACTCTCATGACAAATTTTGGAACAGAAGGTGACTGCTGTATTGCTACATGTATGGCGTTTTCAAGAAAGCCATCCCATTGAAACAGCTGTAGCCAAGCCACCCAACAACGTAGGGCCAGAAAGCAAGTGTCAATGAAATAAACTATGGACAATTTAACCTTTATACCATAAGACTGTGATATCAGACATGTAAAATACTTGAGAGAAAAATGCCTACATATGTGCCTACAAGGTACAACTTGTTACACATCACACACCCTTTTTCTGTACAATGTTGGCCATGTTAATCCTTTCTTTTTGTCTTAATAACAGAATGACCCAGGTACACAATATTTCATGCCTAAACCAGAAATTAAGATACAGCAAAAAGTTCTGGCACAACTTCACCCACTGTCAAGATGCACAGACAAGGATTAAACAAATTGGAAAGGAAAAGGTTCGGCAACACTTGGAGTGTTTTGAACATCTTTAATAAAAAGACCAACATGTTTCAGCATGAAGCCTTCATCGGGGTCTGCCTTCAGTTGATCAGTGACAATATAAACTAATTTTTTAAATTTAGAAACACCATTATCATGGTCCAAACACACACCTGTCCACGATGTGGTCCAGTGACCAGCTGCAGGTTCCGTCCTTTCAGATCAGTGACCGTGAAAGGTAGCTGAACTTTATCATCTTCATAACCTAGAGACAGAAATAGCAGGGAGATCACCAGTTAGCAGCTTCTGGCTTGACCAAACCAAAGTTACATTTTCATCATTCACTCCCTTTGTCCTCCTCTGCCTCTCACCTCCAGCACCTCCTGGATTCTGCTCTGCTGCCCCTGGCTGCTGGAGACAGTAGTGCAGGCGTAAGTAGTTTACATATCCAGGCTCGCTAGGGCCAACCTCCTGGGACGAGGATGGGGTTGGAGGGGATGAAGGAGATGAGGAAGAGGATTCAGGAGACATCACATGTTCTGGGCACTGATGCGAATTGTGGCTCAAACCTGATGTTGATGCTTGTGGTAAACTAGTCCGTCTTTCGTCCTCCCCCTCCTCTTTTCTGCTCTCTACATTTATCGCTTTGTCTCCTGGTTTTGTTTCTTGCTGGTTCTCAGTTTCTTTCCCCCCTCCTCCTCCTCTTCCTCCCTGGGCCCGTTTGAAGAGGTTGGCTGCAAACTCCCGGGCTCTCACAGCTGCCTGCGACTGGCTAGGAGATGAGGGGATCAGAGCAGGTCTGCTAAGTGGCAGTCGGCTTTCAGGAGATCCCTGAGGTAGTGAGGAAGAAGAGGCTGAGGAGGTGAGGGAAACGTATGCGGTGGCTTGAGTTGACAAAACTGCTCTCTTTGTGTAGAGGATCTGCGATGATTGACCCTGCTTACCTGCAGGACGCATACAAGGAGACAGAAGTGAAAAATAACCGGAAACTGAAATGCAACGACTGAATATTTTGCATGAACATTAACAAATCTCAGACTATTAACAAGAATGCAAATGAGCATCAGATATATCAATTTATCTTGAGCAATGTGATACAGTGAAAGACAAATAATTTGGAGGCTTGGAAACATAACCGAGCTACAATACATTTACTATCAAATCAAAAATGTGTTTCCCTCAGTCCTACCAAATTAATAATACTGCATAAAGGATCAAAGGCAGAGGAAACAGACAAGGACAGAGAAATGTGCTGTGTATTACCTGGGCAGAGTGAGATGGCGCAGGCAACCAGAGAGTAGCTAGTGTTTAAAAAGATGACCTGGTCCTTCTTCAGCTGGAAAGCTGGCTGGAAAGTTGGGAATGGGTACACCACCTGGTACCTGCTGTTGAGCATATAGCCATGTTCCAGACACTCACCACTTCCTGGGGAGAGATCAAAATGTCAAATGAGAGAGCCAGAGGCAGTGAGGTCAGCAGAGTGGTGCATTTGTTTGCATTTACCTGTGCGGATGGTAGTGGCTGAGGGAACTGGGCAGCAGTAAGAGCAAGGTTTAGGGGGAGGCATGGAAGCGACGGTAATGTAGATATCTCTGTTGTTCTCATCACTCATCATTAGATTCATCAGAACAGAACTTGAACTGCGTGTACTAGTAGGTAGAAACATACAAAATTTCTTATTACCTACATACTAAAAAACATACTTCTGGCTGAAAAAGCGCCACATGGCTGTTCATCAGTGTGTTCATTATTCCTTACTTGAAGCCAAAGATGACAATTTTGGAGTGATCATTTGGCCACTCACACACAGTCAGGTACAGGTCGCTGTAGATTTCCTCACCAGCAAACAAACGGACATGATGGACCTAAAGACAAAAAGCAAACACGAGACAACAGGCTAGAGAAACATGCATTTAACTGCCTTATCTAAGTTCTCCATTTATAGCTGTCATAGGAGGGACTTTGTACTGCATTGGTTGTCTGCTTGTGAAACCGGTGGACAGAACAAACTATGGGGCAAGTTTCCATTCTTTTACCTGTCTGAGTCTACTGTGCAGGTTAAACTCCCACCAAAAGAGATGGTAGATATAGAAGGAGAAGTCATCATCTTCTCCACAGTCGCTGGTGTAGGACAGAACGTAGCGGCCACATTTGGTGAAGCCAAGAAAGATGTGTCTAGAACCACAAAGGTGACAGAACAATATTACACTGACACTCCAGATCAGTATTGACACTCGTACAGACCGTAAAGCAGATTAGATATCAGCTATGTTGTTACAGATTGACAGTAAATACAGCTTTTAATAAACGTCATTATAAAACTGAGTGTTTATCTCCATTATCAGTGTGGAGTTTGTGTTTGCACATTTTACATTTGGAAAAACTGGTATTTATTCTCCATCAGCAAACACAGTGATGAGTTCTTCTCTTATAACTGGTAATGAGAAAAGAAAAAAATTAAGTCTTGATTCACACAGCAATGTACTGTTCAGTTTGAAGCACACTCACTGTGCCTTGCATAGTGCAGTACTGTACAGTGTGTGAGTCCATGGACTTAATCATAATAAACCCACTCAGTAAACACCACAGACTGTAAACACACACTGACCCTGCTCTCAGGAACTCCTCGCTGACAATGTTTTTTAATGGAACACACACTCGAGGTGGGAGCTTCCTGAACAGGCGCTGAGAAAACTGTCCTGATAGCTGGATAACAGAGGAGAGAGAGTACACACAGATATTAATAACCTAATTAACACAGTGACACACGACAGAGATATGGCATTAATAGTACGGAAGAGCTTTCAGACACAAACCACAGGGAGATTAACCCTCATGCCGTATCAAGCACAGTAATATTTTAGCACACGATGGACGTTGCATTTATGAACTGTGTAGCACTGCAAGACCCTAGAGGTTAACGTTAGCCGAAGCTAACGCTGATCGAGATTTAACTGTACAATACAGTAGGCATTTTAATGTCTAGCATGCTAATACCGCTTACATCAGGATGTCTATGAGCCCCTTACAAAACCGAACTGAGACAAACACACTGGAACATAAAGATAAAGGAAAGGTTTTCACATTTAGTAAGATGACTAGCCGCTTGCTTGCCTTTAAATGCTAATAGTTAGCCGGTGAGCTAACTAGTTAGCAACTAGCTATAGCTAGCCGCAGAAGCTCTTGAAAATGAGTATTCCACTGAAGAAGTCTCACGTTATTTCTGAACCACTCTTTTGTGTTTTAGGACACACATTTTGTTGATTCATGCCTACCTTGCCATGCATGAGAAGCTTCACGACATGGTCTTTATGCTTTCTTTGAGCTTTCTGTTTGTTATAGTCCTTTTCAGATTTCGAGCTGGGCGCCATCTCTCACTACACTGTTACCCATCGTTGCGTCCAGAGCCGTCCTGATTGGTCCACAGGCTGCAAGCGAGTGCTCTTACTCGCCGGTGCACACGTCCATCAAAACCAAAACAAAGGTAGGTCATTACAGAGGTGACATTCTGCAGGATCCAAGTGTGACTGATACAACACTGCCTCTTCTAGCATGGAAGATAACATGTGAAGTCAAACAGGTAATTTATCTGACATGACAAAACATTAGGCCTAAAATGGGGTGCACACTAGTGATCACACACGGCACTGGCGATTTGAATGTTTTTATTTTAAGTATTTAAAAACAAGCTGTAAAAATATTAACAAAATCAGCGTAAAATAATGGAAACTACTGGAAAAGACTTCAAACAATAAATTGGTAGGAATTTAACAGAAGGCAGTCAAGCACACAAACACATACGTACGTACACACACAACCAACCTACAGACTGTAGGATAGTTAGTGCTTTATTACAGCCACCTTACACACACTTTTCTGCTCAACAGCATACACTGTATACATACATACAACCCCCTTCAGCAAAATAATTAGTGAATAAAATTAAAATAAACTGTAGTAGCAGGGAGAGATAACACCTGCAACTTAAACACTGAAAGTGATTTTTTTTAATGAAGTTAAAAAAAGAGACCAAAAAGCCTGCAATTGTCTTTTTTTACAAACAATTTTTGAATATATTCAAAATACCAATTGACAGTTTTTACCCTTAGGAAGTCAAAGGGGAAAACTATTTAAATGTGAGCCAGTGTTGAGCTGATGTTGTGCTAGCTTGCAAGCAATGATGCTTATTAATTCACATTTTAAAAAACAAAACCAAAAAAATTGCATGGTGTGGGTGAAGGGACAAGCCGGACAGTAATCCAAGTAGTTATTTCATGCTGTGTTCAATGCATGAACAAAATGTGTTTTTTTTTCCTTCAGTGACTTAAAAAAAAAAACAAAACAAGAAAAAAGGAATAGAAAATGTCTAGGCGGATGGTCACTCTTATTAAAGTTCAAAGAGAAAACTTGACAGAAAAAATGAACAAGTCCAGAGACCCATTGCAATCGTCCAACAGACTGACACTCGTTTACTGGGCCTGAAAAGAGACATCACACAATGTAATTAAAACAGTCTTTGTTTTATAAAGAAATGTGAAAATTCTCTCATTATGGTTTGTGTGCATGTTAATACACACAATTATATGCAGGATCTGTAAGACCTGTGTGCTAAAACAAAATTTGATACCGTTTTTTTTTTTTTTTTTTGCATGTTCTTATGGCTTTAAATGGGCTTAACTGCACTAATTACATTAGATCAAATCAAGTGACTGCTACTTACTCTGCCTAAACACAAAGGTGTATCCATGTTTGCTCACTGCCAGGATGGTTATCCAAGCCAGTTATTTTGCTAAACTCCTCCTCTTACATCCATGTAGATTAGATTAGATTTAACTTTATTGTCATTACCCATGTACAAGTACAAGGCAGCGAAATGCAGTTTAGCATCTAATAAGAAGTGCGATAACATCAGTGAAAAGCACGCAGTATCTACAGTATGAAGTCAGAACTAATTTACTGATGTAGCAACACTCAATAGAGCATGATTTAAACGACAAGGCCAATCATTTTCTGTCTTAATAGTATTTTCAGCAATCTCCATACAGAGACTGAAACTGGCAGTGAATTGCCTCCACTCACTGTTAATGTCTGTCAGCTATCAGTCCTGGATTAGCTTGTTCGTCTGTGTGATAGATCTCCATTGTTGTTTAAAAATGGTTAAAAACACATCAGGGAAACACACTGCTGTGCTGGTTGACTTTTTTATTTTTGTAATGAAACCCCAGACTGGCCACAATTTCCTGAAGTTAGAATCAACTGCACATGCATGAGATTTTGTGCGACCTCTCAGTTTTGTTTACATTCTGTTAGTTATTTGTGATCATTTCTGGAGTTTGCTAATGAAGAAACATCAGTGCAGTGGTGCGCTTCACTGATTTGTTTTTGAACAACAGATAAAAGCCTCTTTTCCACCATCTGCTACCATCTCAACTCTACTCGCTTTTGTACCAGGTGCTTGGTTTTCCACTGCTCTCGGTGTAGCTGTCGTCATAGAGACACCACATTACACTGCAGTGATGTTGTCAGCAGTTGATACAGTGACAATGAAGGACATCGAAAGTATACTATTAATATAGAAAACTATTAATATAGAATATGACTGGCCTCATTCTTTAATGATGATGAAGAAAGTGAGTGAGTAAATTTAGGTAAAAATACCGGCTGTTTTTATATTTACCATGTCACAGTATCACATTTTAAGACAAAGAAAACTGCTGGGAAACATTTCTACTAAAATTAACTATTTTGGCCAATAAAAACATTCTTGACAGGTAAATGGCAGCTTCTCAAACCCTGGTAGCTACAAAGTTAACATGAGACACCGGTTTTGCTTATAGTACCTGCTGTCCCTGCTGTGGAGCAGCTGCCTGCCCAGGCGCCGGTCCTGCCTGTCCATAGTAGGCAGCCTGCTGTCTGTAGTACTCCGCCCAGGCTGCACTGTAGTCCTGCTGGCCTCCAGCTGCAGCTCCACCTGCTGCAGGAGTAGCTGCTGTTCCTGGAGCAGCTGCTGTCCCTCCAGCTGGCTGGGCTGGGAAAACACAAGATACACAAACACACCTGTGATTTGCACATACTTGTGCACTTATTTAAATTTGCAGAAAACAACTGTCATCTGATAAGTGATTAAATTAATCATTCTAAAACTAGTAATGTAATACTCATGATTGACCAATTCAACTAATTTCATTAAGACAAGCTGTCTGATATGTTTGAAAATAATATTTGAAGTTCTGACATGTGGATCTCTACATGGCAAGTTAAATGTTCTCTTGGACATATTTTAATGGCTGTGAATCCTTAGTTGTTAAAAAATTAAGAAATAGTTAACTACAATAAAATTTGGTGTCCACTTTTACACTGGCAAGTTCAATATTTTGTCTAAAGTTTAACATAATTTCACTGCTTAAACTTTTCAAGCTTGGGTTTGAAAATGTTGACTTTCAGTTTACTAACAAAACACTGTAATTCAAAACCTCAGTTTGCCCAAATATATTTAGACAAAACTGTGTGTTTGTAGAGTCTACTTACTCATGCCCATCTTCTTATAGTACTCCTCCCAAGCCTTGGTGTAGTCTGGTTGGCCCCCAGCAGTCTGTGGTGCTTGGCTCTGGTCCCCTGGTGCTGCTGAAGTGGCTCCTGGATTCTGCGCTGCCATGGCACCCCCTGGCTGTTGGCCATAGTATTGTGCATAGTAGGCTGCCCATGCTGCGTTTGGGTCTGCTGCTGCCTTACCTATTGAGGGTTGGGGGTGGAGGAAATAATGTGTAATGACATGAATGAATTACACCTCAAACCATTTACAAAGTGCCTTGCAACTTTTAAAAAAAATAACTTTTGAGGCAGGTATGGATATAGAATATCTGGGATAAATGAAAGCGAGTGCACAAAATAAACTACCCACTGGGGTCATGTGGACCTGGGGCTTGCCATGGCTGGTAGGGATTTTCCCAATTCTGAGGACAGTACTGGGGACCACCAGGTGCAGCTCCACTGCAGAGAACAGGACAGTTTGAAATGTGTTCAAACACTGCTTATTTATAGCAAAAACTAAAATTCCCAGCATTGAAGTGATGTTTGTGGGTTGGACTTACTGAGGAGCACCACCAGGAGGCCCAGCATCGTAAGGGTTGGGATTATAAGGACCCATCGGACCACCTGGACCTCCTGGACCAGGACCACTGCCAACAGGGCACAACGGAGCCTGGGGAAAACAGACACACAAAGTCTTTAAGACCACGAACCAAAAAAGGATGATATCTTTTGACAGCAGTTTGAATTGTGTAGTATTTTTTGTTCTGTGAATCACATGAATGCACCTCAATCTTCTCTTCTATAAGCTGCTTTGCATGATCGATCTGTTGCGGGGACCCTCGGATGATGAACAGCTTAAAGTTTGGGTCACCATTTGGCGGCGGTTGGCGGGATATCTCCACAAACGCGCCGGTCTGTTGGTTGATGGTTCAAAGTTACTTAATGAGTGGAACAGTTGTCCATTATGTTGCTACCAAGGCTTAAAATAGAGAAGTCAGTGCTTCAGAGAGGACTTAATACTGGGGAATGTCTTGAAACAACATCCACGTTCATACAGGCCATTGCATGTTTTTAAACTACCCAACAAATTAAGGCCAACTTCACATCCTACTGTCTTGTGTAAAAGTGCAGCACTTTTACCTACAATTATGTTTTTTGGAAGTATGGTATTGTTACTTGCAATTAATTGTTAGCTCTCCCACTGATAATTGCACAATATATTCATGGTATACTGAGAAATGCAAACAGGCATTTTGCCTCCTCCAGTTCCCCTGGCCTCTACCTCTCCCTCTCCCATCATGTGGCATCCCTGCACCGGGTCCTGGGGGGCCCTGTGGAGGAAACACATCACATATCAGGTTTAGTGGTATTTGTGTCATCAACAGACATCAAGAAATCAAATCACTGCCTCTGTGCTGTGTACTTACCCCCTGCCCACCCTCCTCTCGGGCACGGATGCTCTGTAGTAGGCCAGTGATGATTGAGGCAGCGTGCTGACACTGATCTGGTGGCCCCATAATATGGGCAATTTTATCTGGACTTGTACCATCATCTGTAACACATGACAAAAGGTCAGAAGAGCTACATTAGGTTAAATACAAGAAAATAAAACTATAAATGGCCTTTTCTAGACAACAAAATGGAAGGAAAGTGTTATTTTGGACAAAAGGCATAATTTTTTAGGTTTCATCTTCTCTTCACAGATTTAGCCTTAAATAATCTTTGTTTTACCACAAAGCCAAGGCAGTATACTGGAATTTAAACTTTTTGTGGCATTGTACTTATGACATGTTGTGAAATACAACAGTTTAATTTATTCCAAAACCATTTGGTGCGCTCACCTGGTTTAAACTGTATCTTCACTCCAGCATCACTCTGGATCTTCTTGATCATTTCTCCGTTACGACCAATCACAACTCCTACAGAGTGGCGTGGCACAGCTATCTATGGAATTAAAAAAAAAAAAAAAACAACCCTGTGATAACTGGTCAAAGCTGTTGAGTCTCATCCATTAAAGTTACGGTAAAC